TTAAAATGACTGTTCCTGTTTGAGCCACTCCCATTTGATTTTTCTGTGTCCAATCTTGTAAGCCTAAACTTTGAAATCTAGAAAGCAAAACAATTTATCTTAATCGAGAGTCTTCTTAAGTGACCCTGGTCATTTAAGATATAATTAACTATAGGAGATTGTCTCTATAGGGAACTTGGAACTCAGGTAAAATAAACCTTATCTAATCCTTATATTAGGTAGGGGAACTTGCCAGTCATTTATAAAAGATTTTACAGACCAAATGGATGTCACAAAAATCCTTAGTTTATGTGGTTAAGTCTACTATCAAGTGGTATGTTTATCCGTCGTGATAATATATTACTTATAGTATCGCACTCATCCATCCAAACTATTCAATATGTAAGCATCGTTTGGTCTCATCCATTTTTAAATTAAAATGTTATTTTCAAAAAACATATTTACATCAAAACTATTTTCATATTTTACAAAAAACATCCCTTTCAAAAAAATAATGGCCGACACAATGTTATCAAACCATGACTTCCTATCGTTGTTTTCTTCTGGATTGAGTTTGTCTCTCCACATTCAACACTGACTATCATAGTTTTAAAACTCCATTGCCCTAATAAATTGTTACTTCTCCATGCTTATTGGCTCAAGAAGATCATGTGTGTTTGCACATGTGTGTATTTTTTTAGGAGAGCTAGAAATGGACTCTTTTATTGACACTGTTATATGGCTCTTAGTAGGAGCGCCTTGTCGTTGGTAGCGGCTCCTCAAACTCATTGCGTTCTAAGGCAATCAATGCTAGTCCTGATGGTGCTTCTCCCAAGGTCTACAAAAATATAGTTCGTGGCGCCACTTTCTCCATCTCGGTATGAATGCCCTTTACCTCGACTTCTTCAAGACAAGAGTACAATGTGTTTCTTTGCTTTGGTAAAAGAATATGTATTATTGTAGCCCTCATGTTTTGTACAACAATCGTACTGCCAAAGATGAGCTAATAGGATGTGACAAACATCCATTAGTATCACATCACACTATACTTACTCTGGCAATTTGTCTACAATGGAAAACTTCATAATTCTCAAGCTCGGTATGAATATCCATTACCTTAGACTCCTTCCAAGGCAAAAATACTATATGTTTCCTTTCTTTGGTGAAAGAAAGTATTCTTGCAACCATCATGATGTGTACTATCAAAGATGGGCTAATAGGATGTGACAAGTATCCATAAGTACCACGTTACAACATACTTTAGGAATTTGTCTCCAATGGAAAACTCCATGATCATCTCTTGTAATTGTGATCTTATTCTTTCCTTCAACCAAGATAGGAAATAAGATTGGGTGTTTTCGTGTGGCTAAATTTAACTTGTCGATCATTTGGGTAAACACTTTATTCTCAAAATTGTCTGCATCTATGATAAAATTGCACACATTTCCTTTCACAGTGCAATGGGTAAGAAGAATGTTGTGGTTGAATCGTTGTTGCTTTCTCGTGAGCTTAACCCAAAGAACACATTGAATCACTATCATCTCTCCTCATCTGTTGGAAGTTGATACTCCTCAGTGATATTCTTATTTTCTTTTGTGTCATAGTCCACTTCTTTTACTGCTACCTGCTTAGTGAAAGAGACGGCTCTAATAGTAGGACAACTAGAGGCGATGTGCCAAGACCCAAGATATTTGAAACACTTCTTTGCAGCAGTGTGTTGGGTGTACTGCTTCTCTGAGGCTTCCTTCCGCCCCGATCAACTCTATCATTTTTATGGACAGTTTTCACATCTTCCTCGGGTGTACTACTAGATCGTCTTGCTATGGGTGAGTATTAGAATGATGGTAGGATCCTGATCTGCTTTTTTTATTTCGACACCTTCAGGGCCATTATGTAAACATCACTCAATGACCAGTAAGGCTGCAGTTGATTAACATTGTTTATGGCTGACTTCAAACCTCCATAGTACCTGACTATGCTTCCCTCGGCTCAAATTTCAGCTTGAGCTATTCAAACTCCATTGTGAACTTTTCTACTAACAATTCCATCCGATGTAAGTGATGTAGCCTTAAGAACATGTCCTGGCAGTAGTGTGGAGGTAAATACTTTCTTTGCATCTTTTTCATTTTCTCTCTCACTAACAATTCCATCCGATGTAAGTGATGTAGCCTTCAGAACATGTCCTGGCAGTAGTGTGGAGGTAAATACATTCTTTGCATCTTTTTCATTTTCTCTCAAGTATTGATCTTGTTCTTACCTTTTCTATGTCGCACTCTCTTCACATTTTCTATGCCTTAAGAGCCACTCTTCTTTAGCTTTTTGGTAAGCAAGCTTCACCCACCTTTTAGTTTATACTTCTTTATAATCAAAATCCTCTCAATAGTCTGCAACCACTCATTGAAGTCATCTGAATTCATCCTCTCGAAATCCGACAAATCTACCTTCACCCCCCATGTCTCCATATCATCTTGATGCCACTCCATCCCTCTGCTCATTTGATACTAAATCACAAAATGTTGTGGCCTATCCTACTTTTCACTAAATCATTCCTATGAAAGGGATTCAGATTTTTCTCCCTTTCTCTTCAAATCTCAATATCACAATCAACGATGATCTCTCCATGGGTCCCTTTCTCAATTTCAGCAAGCACTTGTTGAAATCGGCATATTTCTCGTTGCATCTCTTTCAGGATAAGTTCTTGATAGGCTTCCAGCACTTGTCTCCTCGGTAGCGTTGCTAGGGTTTAGGTTTGAGAGGTGGGAGAGGGTTTATGGGGTTGATTTAGGGCGTGGAAAAAATTGAGGGTTGTAGATTTTGAAAGCGTAGCAAGGGGGATTAGGAATAGGTTAAGATTTGGCTATGGTTTAGTGAGTGCTGGTCACTCTCAGAAGGAATTATGGTCGGGCTTGTTTTGATACCGAATGATACTGTAACTTAATAAACACTCAATGGGAAATAAATATTATTAATTAATTCAAAGTCTGAAATTACAACAAACAATAAGGAAATTTGAGATTGCAACCAGACAAAAACACAACACCAGAACTAGGGTTGGATCTTGGGTGGTCGTGTCAAGGGGGCTGTTTAGCAGCCGCGAAGGGATTCGACAAGTTGGCAGCAAGCTCGAAAGTAGAGGGTGGAATTGATGCAGGAGGTTGTGGGGGAAGGGTACAAATGCATACAAACCATCTCGAGAGCGAGATTTTGTCAGAGCACCACTCGAATTCCGTGGATATTGCCCTAGAAAGGGAAAAGAGGATTTGGCAACTCTATAAACTCAAATTAATCAAAAATTAAACTATAAACATCAAAGAAATACTTAAATAACACTACTATTAGAAATGGGTCTCACTCCAATTTGGTTGCAACCTTAGGCCTAGAAGGGTCGATTAGCTCTCCCTCAATCTGGACCAAACTCGTTCAGGGTCCCGCCCAACCCCCGCGTCAGTTTGTCCCTCCGGTTACAACAACTTACATTTCACATGTTGATCATAGTCAGTTGTGTACTCTTCCACAGAAGAATCTCTCTGGCACAAGTTACGGAGTTTACTGAACATTTTGTGTTGGTAATGATGGGAAGGCGTTTGTGTTGGACTCTTTTTTTCATGTTGGATCATGTAGTGTTTTTGTTATTTCCCTCGATGTTGCGTAGGGGCATAAAATTTTTTCATCATAGTAACAAGCCATTCTTGAACTTAAAAGTGGCTTGCTTTAGCCTTTTATCAGTTGGAATTTTCTTGTACTCAAAGACCAATTTCGCTTTTTGGAGTCATTTAATGAACTTGTCTAGATCATTGTGACTGTCAATATTTGACAAGCCTATCTTCACTCCAAAATTATAAATTCTTCTTTGATATTCTATGTCAAATCATTGAGTATTGGTTCTTCATCACTAAAAACTTTCTTGTGAAAGATTTATTTTTTCATCTTGATCTAGTGAGTTAACATCGTGGTTATGGGCGGCCTCTTCGATATGTCTTCTCTCAAAGATGGCTAGTCTTTATTGCACTTTGAGGATTTCCTTCATCACTAAAAACTTTCTTGTGAAAGATTTATTTTCTCATCTTGATCTAGTGAGTTAACATCATGGTTATGGGCGGCCTCTCCGATATGTCTTCTCTCAAAGATGGCTAGTCTTTAATGCACTTTGAGGATTTCCCTTTGCTTGTCCTTCATCGTAAGCTCTTGGACACTTCTTTTACATTTAGCAATAGCAATCCAACAACGAAAACCGCTAGTTGGTGTTATATTGATATGAATATCCCAGTATTTATTAAAAGGGGCATTTACATACCTGGCACACAATTCTTATGCATGTACATATCTCACACTTAAACTTTCATATTTACACACAGCCTAAATATTTAAAAACGAACCACTTTTTAAAAGTGAAATACACCTTTTTCATGCATAGATTTAAAGCACAAAATTGCTATGTATGTAAATATGAAAGCTTAGATATGATATATGTAAATACATAAGAATTGTGTGCTAGGTATGTAAGTTTATTTTTTTCAAAATGCTCATTTTCAAGTGTGTTTTTTTTTTTTTGAAAGCTTGAGATTGCATCTTTTCTGTGGTAACTTTTGCTGTCATTTTTTTTCGTTCTGTTTTATATTATGGGAAATTTACATGCATGCCACACAATTCTTATGTATTTACATGTCTAACACCAATATTTTAATATTACACTTCTACACTTTGGGTCATAAAATTATGCATGGAAAGTTGTATTTCTCTTTTAAGAAGGTGATGTTAAAGATTAGAGTGTTGTGCATGTAAATATGAATGTTTAGGTGTTTGATATGAAAATACATAAGAATTGTGTGATATGTATGTAAATGCCTGAGTCTGTCAAAAACAAATCTTTTTGGTAGATCTTATATACTGTATGTTTTATCTTGCATTTGCTTCTTTAATTTTGTCTACTGTCATTTAGCAGTTAACACTAATTAATGTCATTATAGATTCCTCCTTCCAAGTTCTAAAATACATTATTCAATATGATCTCTGTTTTTCAGATATGTTGATTTATTATTGGGAGAGTTTAAACATTACAAAACCAGGCTTGTAAATGGTGGAATTGCTAAGGAGGTAAATGCAAAATTCTGATGATCTAAACGTTGGGAAATTCTTACATCAATTGAATAGAACAGTTTTCTTTTTACAACTTACACAATTGTTAGTAAATGTCTGAAGTTTCTATTTTTTTGAAGAGTATTACCTAATGCACCAAATACTACAATATTAGTTGAAGCACTCTTCCTAGAGTTTGCCTTGAGATTTAGTGGTACCATTATAAATTTAGATATTTATTTACATAACACAAATTCTTATGCATTTACATATCTAACACCTAAACTTCAATTTTACCATTCATGCCACCTTATCTGTGCATAAAAAAGGTGTGTTTCACTTTTTAAAAGTTAAAATAGTTGTATTTTTGTTGTGATATGAAATATCTGGGTGGTATAAATTTAGAAAGTAAAGTATAGTTATGAAAACTTCAATTCTCTTTTTTTTTACTTTTCAAAAGAAAAAAACCATAGGAATTGCGTGGTATGTATGTAAATGCCCCTATAAATTTTAACCGTGCATATTGCGCATACCACTTGTTTTTGAGAAGTGAAATTGCGCATACCACTTGTTTAATTGATTTTATGGAGGATGGATGGTGTTGATTTTACTTTAGTAAGGTATAAATTTAAACTTTATAAAATATGCATTCTCGTATTGAGTGGAAAATTGTGCACTCATATGATGATATTTTTGTTTATATGCATGTACTAACTAGTTTTTTTTATTATGATGGTTAGCTTATCAAACTACTTGGAAGATGTCATCATTTTCATTTCCAAGTAATAATGTAAAATTTACAAATATGTCTATGCAAATGATTTATTATTTGTGTAATATGTGTTGTACTGTTAATAAACCGTTGAAAAAGTAAATATTGCAATTGAATATAAAACTGGAGAAAAAGTGTCAAATTGATCCTTTGACTCTTTGTAGAGGCCCATTTTAGTCCCATAGTCTAGAAATTGTCAATTTAGTCCCCATGCTCTTTTAAAGGGGGCTAAAATAATTCTTCTTGAGGACTAATTTGGCATTTTCATGGACTATGGGGCTGACTAAAAATGCACAATTTTTACAGACTATGGGACTGAAATGACTTCATATAAATAGTCGGGTGATTATTAAAACATGGTACTAAATTAAATTCTACCGAAAAAGTCTTCGTATGCAATTTCACAACTTATGCTCCAGGTTCAAGATCTCCTCCTAGAGTATGGACTCGAGAATGTAGCTGAAGTGCTCACCGAAGGTCTGTCGCGAGTAAGGCGATGTAGTGATGAAGGACGAGTGCTGATGTCTTTGGATCTTCAGGTCATATCTTTTGCATTGGCCCATTGTTGCATTATGCTAAAATGCTTTTGTTTTCATTCTATTTTGAAAATTTTCACAATATAACAAAGTATTTTTCATTCAGGTCCTTATCAACGGACTTCAACACTTTGTTTCGATGAATGTCAAGCAAAAGTTGCAGGTTGTTGAAACATTTATCAAGGTACTTATATGATGCTTGATTTTATTTTTACATGTTTACCTAACCGTTCCCGAAAATGTTTGTATTTACATATAGGTTCAAAATTTATCTTTTTAATTGCATTTTATTCCTGTTTTCTGCTTTTTCTTCATGGACTCAAAACAAACATTTATATTGCAATCTATATTACAATAATTCCTGAAAGCTTGCGAAATGCCAAATTATTGTCATAAACAACCCCGTTCTCTTTGTTTTTTTTTTTAATTTTAGAAATTTTATTGACGTGCTTTTTACTTGACCAACTGAAATTTAGCTTTTCTTCTACCTTCAAATCAGGCCTTCTATCTTCCAGAAACTGAGTATGTGCATTGGGCACGTTCCCATCCGGTAAGAACTATATTAATTTAAGGATAATTACATATATAGCACTTGAGATTTTGCTATTTACAAAACTAGCACCTGGGTCATTTTCATAACTATGAAGCCAATGCATTTATGCATGTCACGATCAAATCATTGAGA